GCTAGTCACCAAAGTAGCAAAGGACTTTATAGGGGATAAGTATGGAGGGTAGCACCATCAACCCAACAAGTACATATAAAAAGTAAAAAGGTTATTGTACAAAAGTTATAAACACATGTAGATACCATGTCATATGACAAAAAGAGGTTAACAAGGTATTTTGCATTAATAAATCATATGAAAATTAATTAATTCCTATTGCATAAGACAGGCTTTGATGTAAATCTATTCATACTCTGCAATGTGATACTTAATTATTTGTCATCATTTTTGTCAAGAATTTATCCACAAATTCTCCTGATGAAGTTATCATTTGAAACATGTTGGGCTATATGTGGCATGAATTTGCAATGTGATGTAGTAATGTAAAATATCTTATAAAAATCTTTTTTGTCATATGACATGGTATCTGAAGGGAAATGTATGTTTTTTAGGTCTGTCATTTTGTTTTTCCCCCCACTCCATTTTATATTTTGTACTAACATGTTGATTAATTGTTTTGTATTATACCCAGAATGAGTTAATGAAAATATGCTGTGTCAGTTATGTGTTATAGAATTATACTCATATTCTTCTATTTCTTATCTTAGCCGTGGTAGAGGCAGTGAAAGTATCCAATTATTTCTTTGTACTAGCAACACTTGTTTCTGTTATGATATACCGTATTTTTCGCTCCATAAGATGCACTTTTTTCCCCCCAAAAAAGGGGGGGAAAATGTTAATGCATCTTATGGAGCGAATATGGAGCGACCGGTCCGGTATTTCCACCGCCGCCGTGTCAGAATACCGGGCCGGCCGCTCAGCTCTGCAGCAGGCCCTTATGGAGATGACTGCTGACCTTTGGGGAGGTGGGGAGCGGGTACCTGAATTTGACAGGTACCCGCTCTTACTTCCGCGGAGTTGTTCTTTGACCTTACCTGTTCCTCTATCCAGCGGCGCGCTGTCTTCCCGGCTTCTGTAGTGTCTGCGCTGGGCTTGACAGCCGGGTGCCAAGTGCGCATGCGCAAGAAGCGGTGCTTTTTGTGAATGGTAAGGCGGTACCTGGGACACATGACAGATCCCAGAAGCCGCAGGACCAATCACAAAGCGCAAGTGCTTCTCGCTCATGCGCACTGGGCACCCGGCTGTCATGCCGAGCACCGACACTACAGAAGCCGGCTGGATAGAGGAACAGGTAAGATCAAAGAACAACTCCGCGGAAGTAAGAGCGGGTACCTGTCAAATTCAGGTCCCCGCTTCCCACCCCCCTCCCCAAAGGTCAGCAGTCATCTCCTGTACTGTCCGCAGTCTCTGGTCATCCCTGTGGTGTCCGCAGTCTCTGGTCACCTCCTGTACTATGTCCGCAGTCTCTGGTCACCTCCTGTACTATGTCCGCAGTCTCTGGTCACCTCCTGTACTATGTCCGCAGTCTCTGGTCACCTCCTGTACTATGTCCGCAGTCTCTGGTCACCTCCTGTACTATGTCCGCAGTCTCTGGTCACCTCCTGTACTATGTCCGCAGTCTCTGGTCACCTCCTGTACTATGTCTGCAGTCCATTAGTTCAGAATTTTTTTTTTTCCTGTTTTCTGCCTCTAAAACCTAGGTGCGTCTTATGGTCAGGTGCGTCTTATGGAGCGAAAAATACGGTAATTAAAAGTCAAATACTTCTGTCCCATGGGAAAATAATTGTTGGTTACTTGTAACTGATTACAAAGCCTGAGAAAAATCATGCTCACAGCCTTGACAAGTATCTAGCCAGATTCTATTATATGTAGCAGATAAGTTTTTGTTATATTGTAGATACTTTCCTTATTCCTGGGAAAGTGAAATTTTGCTTCTCATCATTATTCAGAATGCTTGTATTATTTTTATTCAGCCAATCAATTACTGACGATGTAGCTTTTTGCCCAGATACTCTGTGCCCCCCACCTTTCTTTTCTGTTATATTAATCCTGTTCCCGCTAATAAACGAGAGAGATTGATTTCACCTATCACTGTGTGCACTTGTCTATTACTTAGGTGAAGTTGGTCCTCTGGACGTCCATACCTTCAACAGACTGATCAAGACAGATAGCCAAAGGCTAGCGACAACCTTTCAGTATCCACATGTGTTTTTTAACTTTTGTACAATAAACGTTTTACTTTTTATATGTACCTGTTAGGTTGATGGTGCTCCCCTCATACTTATGCTGCTATGATTTGGTGACTCTAGTTATAACCAGTACCTTACTGACACAAGCAGAAACAAGTCCATAGAGACACAATGGGACACAACCAGTACTGTGCTAAAACAAGCACCCAATGCTATACCTTGCTGCTTGTGTTGCCTCTCACACAAACCAGTTGCTTGTGTTACAGAGCTGAGAACAGGGGGTGCTCAACCTGTGACCTTCTAAGCCCTCTGATGTCCTGAACCTTAAACCAGGGAAGAGCATGCCTGGGGTTGGCAACCCATTGATCACGATCTGGGCTTGCTGACCCACCATCCCATCCCAGAGCATCAGAATGCATTGAGCCAGTGCTGACAGCAGAGGAAGCAGGTAGCAGTGGGAGAGAGCAGGAGTCGCATAAGCGGATGCTTCCTCTGTAGTACCAGCTCCTGTCTCAGGCCAAGCAATACCCAGTGCACTTCGCCTGGGACCTTTCTAGTAGCCTGGAAAGAGATACCAGCAGATACTGGAAGAGGAAAAGAAGGTCAGTGTATTTACGACACATACACTGTACTTTGCAATGGGCGTATTCGTACCTATAAATATATATAGTGTTGTGCTGCCAATCCAAAAAAGAAAAATGCAAAAATAAATAGTGTACTACAATACACCTCCTCCCACTGCATGTAAACTCTATGTGCAATAAATGTGTGTCAAATTTACAGACGTACCACAATAAAGTAAACCCTGGAAGTTAAAAAAATGCTGTGAATCAAATATATGCATCTGCTTTCAAACAAAATTGATGATTAAAGTGCTACAAACCACATCTCTCACAGCGGGTATAGAATCCCCCCCCCCCCCCCCCTTTAAAAGAATCACATTTTGTTGCTTTGCAGCTTGAAATGAAGACAAACACCATTTTTGTTTTATTCGGCTGTATTTACTCAGTACAACTTACAGTATAACATCCAAGTGAAAGATATAAACACCAACATGTCAGAAAAAAAGTTTAAAAAAATTCAAAAACAATTCAAGTCTTGGAAAAACGATCACCCCCTTGTGTCAGTATTTTGTTGAACCACCTTTTGCTTTAATTACAGCCTTTAATCTGTTGGGATATGTCTCTACTAACTTTGCACATATAGACTTTGCAATATCCACCCACTCTTCTTTTCAGAACTGCTAAAGTTCAGATAAATTTGACGGTGACCGTTTGTGGAATGCAGTCTTCAAATCATTCCACAGATTTACAATGGGGTTTAAGTCTGGGCTCTGACTAGGGCATGCAAGCACATTCACCTTTTTCACCTTCAACCACTGTGTGGTAATTTTTGCTGTATGCTTTGGGTCATTGTCATGTTGGAATGACCATTCCCATTGACAACTTTCTGGCAAAGGGTAGCAGATTTTCCTTCAGAATTAGTATTTTGCCCCATCCATTTTTCTTTCTATCCTGACAAGTGCTACAGTCTATGCTGCAGAGAAATTCCCCCCATAACAGGATATTACCTTCTTCATGCTTTACTGTAGGAATAGTGTTATTTGGAAGGAGGGCTGTATTGGATTTCTGCCAGACATATCATTTAGTGTTCAGGCCAAATAGTTTAATTTTAGTCTCATCTAACCATATCACCTTTTTGCATGCATGTGTGTTGGCAAAAGCTCAGTCGCAGGGATGGCTCTTTAATTAGGCAGTCATCTAAGGCCTCGCGGCTGCCTAATTTGCTTAGTGTGTGTATGTGAGAGGGAATGTCCCACAGTTGGTGTTCCCAGGCTGGCGGGGTGAGTGGGTCGGCACACATGTGCATGCAGATGAAACAGATGCTAATCTTATGCTAATGTCTCTCGGCTTCCCCGTATCGCCATCCACACAGCTGCCTCTGCCCGGTCCCCCGGACTGCTTTTCCCTCATACCACCCCAGGCTCAACCTCACACCATGCCGGATCACTGAACCAGGGACAGCATGCCTTCCCACACAAGCCAATTAACGGATTCTGGTCAATGGATGTCTTCCAGCACCCATTGATCAGAAGGAGAGACACAGGTTAGAGCTCTGCCTACGTAAACAATGCAGAGCTCCATCCTGTCAGCAGGGATGCACTGGATTTTGTTTCCCTGCATAACAGGGAATAAAATCCAGCACATCCCCTAGTAAAAACACCACACTGTGTACACAAAATCAACTGGTTGGGCACACAGTTAACCCTTTGATCGCCTTAGATGTTTAAGCCCTTCCCAGCCAGTGTCATTAGTACAGTGACAGTGCATATTTTTAGCACTGATCACTGTATTAGTGTCACTAGTTCCCATAAAGTGTCAGATTGTCTGCTGCAATATCGCAGTCCTTCTATAAGTCACTGATCACAACTGTTACTAGTATAAAATAAATAAAAATTCCATTATATATACCAGAATTTGCAGACACTAAAACTTTTGTGCAAGCCAATCAATATACATTTATTGGGACTTTTTTGCCAAGAATAAGTAGCAGAATACATTTTGGCCTAAATTTATATAGAAATTAGATTGGATATGTTTTATAGAAGAAGGTAAAAAATATTATTTCTTTCAAAATTGTCTGTCTTTTTTTTTTTTAATAATGCAGTGCCATATAGCAAAAAAATGTCCTGGTCAGGAATGGGGGATAAATCATCCAGACAGCAAGTGTTATACTCTGTTGACAAATTTATTTCACATTTAGGAGACAGCACCAAGGATATTGAGTAAGTAGCCGCACAAATTTTATCTACAATATATATATATATATATATATATATATATATATATATACACACACACACATATACACACACACAATATTTTTCACTCCATAAGACGCACCTGACCATAAGACGCACCTAGGTTATAGAGGAGGAAAACAAGAAAAAAAATATTCTGAACCAATGGACTGCAGACATACTGTAGTACAGGAAATGACCAGAGACTGCGGATGTACTACAGGAGATGACCAGAGACTGTAGACATAGTACAGGAGATGACCAGAGACTGCGGACCTACTACAGGAGATGACCAGAGACTGCGGACCTACTACAGGAGATGACCAGAGACTGCGGACCTACTACAGGAGATGACCAGAGACTGCGGACCTACTACAGGAGATGACCAGAGACTGCGCACATACTACAGGAGATGACCAGAGACTGCGGACCTACTACAGGAGATACAGAGACTGCGGACCTACTACAGGAGATGACCAGAGACTGCGGACCTACTACAGGAGATGACCAGAGACTGCGGACCTACTACAGGAGATGACCAGAGACTGCGGACCTACTACAGGAGATGACCAGAGACTGCGGACCTACTACAGGAGATGACCAGAGACTGCGGACCTACTACAGGAGATGACCAGAGACTGCGCACATACTACAGGAGATGACCAGAGACTGCGCATACTACAGGAGATGACCAGAGACTGCGGACCTACTACAGGAGATGACCAGAGACTGCGGACCTACTACAGGAGATGACCAGAGACTGCGGACGTACTACGGGAGATGCAGAGACTGCGGATAATACAGGAGATGACCAGAGACTGCGGATGTATTACAGGAGATGACCAGAGACTGCGGATGTATTACAGGAGATGACCAGAGACTGCGGGCATACTACAGGAGATGAACAGAGACTGCGGACATACTACAGGAGATGACCAGAGACTGCAGACATACTACAGGAGATGACCAGAGACTGCAGACATACTACAGGAGATGACCAGAGACTGCAGACATACTACAGGAGATGACCGAGACTGCAGACATACTACAGGAGATGACCGGAGACTGCGGACGTACTACAGGAGATGACCGAGAGATGCGGACGTACTACAGGAGATGACCAGAGACTGCGGACATAGTAAAGGAGATGACCAGAGACTGCGGACATAGTAAAGGAGATGACCAGAGACTGCGAACATAGTACAGGAGATGACCAGAGACTGCGAACATAGTACAGGAGATGACCAGAGACTGCGAACATAGTACAGGAGATGACAGGTCCCAGAACACTACGGGGCCATTCACAAAGCGCAGCGCTTCTCGATCATGCGCAGTGGGCCCCGGCTGTGAAGCCGCAAGCTGACACAGCCAGGTGCCCTCACTAAAGATGATGAGGTGATGAGCACACTGCTGGACCAAGGAACAGGTAGGACCAAGGAGCAGGTTCTGCTGCGCACAGAAGAGCCGAGTGGCCGACCCCGTATTCTAACATGGTGGCAATGGGGGGATGCACAGACATTTCCCCCATTTTTGGGGGAAAAAAGTACATCTTATGGAGTGAAAAATATGGTATATATACATACATACATATACACACATACCCTATTTTTAATGATATTTGATTAAAGAATAATTGGTTAGTGAAAATTCGGTACTTGCCTGTTAATTTACTGGATTTATTTACTTGTCAACATAGTAATTCACCGGATTTATTAACTTGTCAATATAGTTAACATAGTTTAAAAGTTTTATTTAAAACTAATTACTTAGCTAGGATGTCAGTAAAGTGGGTCACGATGGAGGCCAAAATTGCACTATATCACCGAGAATGCTGCCGAACACATTGAGGTTGCGTCTCGAACTCTGAAGCGCCACATATACTCGCACATATATGAATCAAGCATTTGTTTATGCGTTCCATTATGGCGTTTGTTGCGTTCCTTGGCCGCTTTCCACGATAGTTCGATTTTCTGAGTATGGGCACCGGTCACGGGATCCACAAAGTTCTGTGAATGATTAACGTTTAAATGCGTCAGCCCAGCCTGTCTACTAACCGTCTTGTATGCAGCCCATTCATCTGAGATCACTGTTGTTCCAGGTAGAATGTTCGCTTTAATGATGGGGAGCAGTGTTTCCGATGTATGGTCTTGCACTGGAAACATAAAACACTCATTTGTTTCCTGACATATATCACCGAACACCCATTGTTGTGGAAGGACTCTTCCGACCTGATTTTTTGCGGCGGGAGAACAAACTTTCATCTATTTCGACGGTTGTATTAGGGCCGCCGATCACTACAGGATTTAGAATCAAAGAGTTAGCACAAACCTCACGGAGATAATTATTCCAATCCATTGTTGCATCATGACCAATGTCCAACTTGCTATCACAAAATGAGATGCTTGTCAGCTCTTTATACCAACAGTAAATGAAAAGCACGATCTGGTGGTATGACAGTCGCGAACCTTGTAGCCACGTCCCTTTGTGAAGAGGTATGTCTTCTTTACATGTACCTTGATGGCACCACCAACGATCCTTACGATCACTCAGCGAAAGAGTCATGGCATGATTGTTTGAACAGCGCCTTCCATTGTGCAAACCCAACCCCGCATTGTTGCAGAAATTGTACACTGGAAGCTTTGTCATGAACTAAAGCCGAAAGTTCTAAGAGATTCATGGCGTCTTTTCTCTTCAGATTTAGAACGGAAATGGCGTCAGCGCTAATTACAATAGTCACCTTACACGCATTAAATAAATAAATCTGGTGAATTAACAGACAAGTACCGAAAATTCAACAAACTGTGAATTCATAGTTCATTTAAGGCTCATAATGTATGCAATTTATACAGGTAATATTTATCACTTTGATTATTTTTCCCAATTATGGGAATGAGTGGGACCTCATGTCTATGTTTTGCCTAAGGCCTCACAAAGCCTAGAGCCGCCTCTGCTTAGTCGTGACTAAATGTGACCTTTCTTGAGGAGTGTCTTTTTTGTTGCAACCCTCCCATACAAGCCACGTTTGTGGAGAATTTGTGATGTTGTTGCATGCACACAATGACCACTCTTTGTCACAAATTCCTGCAACTGCTTCAGAGTTGCTGTAGACCTTTTGGTAGCCTCTCTAACTAGTTTCCTCATGATGTTTTCATCAAGTCTGGAGAGATATCCTGATCCAGGGAGGTTCTGTGTTGTACCAAATACCTTTTACTTCTTAACAATAGACTTCACTGTGCTTCTAGGCATTGATAAAGCCTTTGAATTTTTTTTTGGATCCATATCCTGCTCTTTTTATGATGAGGTAATCAAAATGACCACAGCTGACCACAGTTGAAAGTCAAATGGCTTTGTGTGCCATTGAAACTGAGTTAACAAGTCATTTTTAGGAGGGGTGTAATCCTTTTTCCAACTCATTGATTCTGTTTTTGAATTTTTTTCCTGACATGTTGGTGTTATATCTTTCACTTGGGTGTTATAATATGCCAATATGTAAATACAGCTGCCGAAATGTAAATACAGCTGGATAAAACAAAAATCTTTGTCTTCATTTCCGGTGCAACAAAATTCATTATTTTAAAGGGGGTGATTCTTTTCTATACCCACTCTGTAGAGTCTTTGCTATGCCTTCATAGTGAAGATGAAGTGGCACCAGTAATAAACACTGTAAACCTATAAAAAAAAAAAGTCAAAACAAACTCCATATGCTGAATAGTCGGCTGGGACTATAATGCCCCTTCCATGCCAATTTAAAAAAATATACAGTTCTTGGTGAATTAGTGGTGCTTGGTGAACGTAAACTCCTTAATGAATCTACAGTATGTGTTCAGGCCAGTGAATCCACTCATGCTCCCACTCCACAACCGCACTCACCACAATTACTTGACCTCTTATAATGAGTAGATCAAAAAACACTCAGGGTGAAGCTCTGCATTCCTTAGGTTTCCAGTGTCATGCAGGTAGGGTGTCTTGTGATCCAATGATCCCTTCACAATACAAGATGGAACTCTTCTCTCCTCCTCATGGACCATGCATTCACTGAAGCGGCAGGGCCACTGAAGAGATCCCCACATTGCTTGGAGCTTTTTCTTCCCACAAATATGTGGCTGCAACAAGCCATGTGCTTTCATCTGTAGACCAAAGGGCCACGGAGTCTTCTGATGTGGCCCTCACCCAGTTTACACCCAGTGAGGGAGGTGTATTGTAGAAGCTATTTCTTTTTACATTTTTTTTTTTTTTTTGGATTAGCAGTGCAATACTATGCATATTTTAGTAGTGCATTACACTCAGTCATTCAGTGGGGTTGGTGTTTCGTGTTAATGACTGCCCATTTATTCACTTTTCTATTCGTTTTATTCCATTGCATGGAATCCTTTCTATTTCTATATTACCACCTGATCCGAGGGTTCAGCTCAGTTCACCTGTGGCTTTGCCACAGGTTAGCTTCACTGAGCCTCTATTATATCCTATCCTCCTAAATGCAGTTTTGGTGTATTTTCAGAAAGCGCACCACACCACACAAAGTATACAGTAATAGAAGTCTGTGACAGGTAAACCACTGCTCATCAGTGTGAAAGCAGCATTTTAGTGGACTCACGAGAGTAAAGGCTCATTTATATTTGCTATTTGGGGGTGGTAAAACCCTGTAGTTGAGAGGTATTTTTACCACCCCATCAACCACTGATGTAGCATCATAGGTTGCAGTGGTGACCCCAACACATAGTCCATTTTCAGCAGCAAATATACAAAGAACAGTGATCCACCTAATGTAACACACAAATGAGTAGATATTGTGCAGTGGTCTACAGTATGTAATGCTTGAAATTATGTGCAGAAAGCAGTGGTCCAGATTATGTATCATTTTTTTCCAGAACCCAGCCGTCATAGCTCATATGTTTAGGCCGACATTGGCAGTGGAAGGAAAAAAGGCCTTGACGTCAGTGGTCTGTGGGAGGAAAAAATACCCCAGCATCAGTAATCTGAAAATGTGCCATAGCATCATTGGGATAAAAAGAAAATACCCAACACCAGTTTAGTGAAATTAACAGCATCAGTGGTCAGTAGGCCTTGGCCTCATTGGTCACTTTTAGGAAAAAATGCATTGGTGTCAGCGGGAGGAAATATATTCTCCAGCATCAGTGGTCAATGGGAATAAAAATGCTCCAGAATCAGTGATTAGTGAGAGTAAAGAAAAATGCCCTGCCAATCAGTGGGAGTAAAAAGATCCCCACCATCGGTGGTAACAAAAGGTGCCTTGGTGTGGGCGGCAGCAAAAATTGCCCCTGTGTCAGTGGTGAGTGGAAGGAAAAAAGCAATAGTGCCAGCTTTGGTGTAATTTGGAGGAAAAATAGGAGAGCTTGGAGCATGCGGCCATCCAGCTAATTCCAATAAAAATCCAGTCACCATATACAGTCAAGAGTCATGATTTCATATTAGACAAGGCACCTTTGCATCTTTATAGTAAGGTACTAATTTCACAAATTTTTTTCATACAAGAATATCTCTAAATATGAATACTTTCTTCAATGATTAACAATAGTGAATCATACTCACAGTCTTTCAAGTTGAATTCATTGGGTGCCTTTGCTGACCACAACCTCATAGTGTTAACTGTATTGTTCCTAAATCCTGGCACTGGAGTATCATATGGAAGTGCAAGAACAATCTGAAAGGCAAACAATAAACCATGCAGTTACAGTGTTAATTGTAATAAGAATTAGCCAGAGCCAGAGACAAAAAAACATTTATTAGAATACCTGCAGAATGTTTCCCATTTTCACCTTTACAATTATAAGAGAACTATAAATATAGGAGAACTTATAAATTTAGATCAGCTCATGGGGGGAGATCACTGATGGGGGGCAGTCTCTGATGGGGGGGTGCTGCTTGTGATCGAGTGCTGCGTTGAAGGAGTGCAAAGCAGTTAAACACAGCAGTCTAATTATGCCTGCTCTACTTTCACAGGTAAATGCAACTATCTCCTATCTCCGCTCTTAACTAGAAAAACGCATTGACTCCTGCTGCTTTCTTCTGGGTAAATGCAACTATCTCCTATCTCTGCTCTTAACTAGAAAAAAACGCATTGGCTCCTGCTGCTTTCTCTGGGTAAATGCAACTATCTCCTATCTCCGCTCTTAACTAGAAAAACGCATTGACGCATTAAATTCAGAACAAATGGTGTATTTATATTTGTGTGTATGTTGACCAGTCCTCACCTCTAGCCGCACTCAGGTTTACGACTGTAGTCTGTTTCCTAAGAAACATCCCCCACT